AAAAGACAGAATGACGTCAAAATTCATGAAAATTTTCCATCCTTTAAAAGTCAGTTGTCCTTTAATTTATATCCTATATAATTAAAAAATGCAAATGTTGATAAGATAGCGTGTTTCCTAAAGCACTGCCCGAGGCCTCCAGTCAGCCTTAGGCACCCCCGGTAGAAGAGTTCGAGAGTACTACACACTGGCCCTGCGTCATATACAGCCTGTGAGTTAACCTTTAATAATCCCTGTATTAGACATTAACACAATACGACACTTAACTTTCAATGTATTTTAAGAAAATATTTTAGTGTTGTCCATTTTGGATTCCAGTTTTTGATAATTAAAAATTGTTAGTATTTATCTAAAATAAATTTTATAAGATCAGTTGGAACAAATGAAATTAGACCCAGTATGAAGAATTATCTCGTAATCAGTGTCATGGGATGTTATTTGCATATATTTGGTGTTTGCGATGGGAGAAGTAATTTTAGAAGTAAGCAAATATGACAGTTCCTTCACTGATTGGTCTCGTAATAAAAGGCAAATAAAAAGATTTGTCAATAGCCTTAAAGTAATTTCTACATTTGTTTAATTAGCCAGCGTGTAATGAAATTTGGATTTCATCATAGAGAGAGATTTTTTAAATATATTTTTTATGTGTGAGAGTTTTAAAATTTAGCATAACGTTACCGATTAATTAAATGGCTGATAAACAAAACCATACACTGGCGTGACAGGAATAAAAAAAAAAAATGAATGAAACAAAACGAACAAATTCTTTTTAGTTGTTTTGTAAAAAAAAAAGAAATGTGCACAATAACACAGACAAGGCTTCTCTAAATAACAAGGGAAGTAACTCTTGTCTGTTCCGTGACTATTAGAAATTTCTTTTTTTATTCCAATTTTTACGCAGTTCCTTTTATTTTAACGATCGTTTATTTCATTACAACTTTATATATAAGTTTCATTAAAAACGACTGACAAGGCACTGCAATTAAGCTTTTTATTCAGTTTTTCTTGTGTTCGTACAAGTGATTTCTTTTCTGGATATCGAGTGTGTAAAAACTTTTCAAATGTTCTATATATCCGAACGCTTTCGGCTGTTTTATTAGGCATTTTCAAGCATGTTTATTTATCTAAATTTTTTTTAACTAAAAGTGTAGATTTTCCTATATGTATATGGAGTGATAGGAGTGTTTTTTTTTGCTACCCAAATACACAATGCAAAAATCCTGTATACAGATAGAAAATAAATTGAGTGGGGTACACAGAAATAGAAAGAAGCGTAAGACAAGGATGTCTCGTCTCACCGGATTTGTTCAACCGCTACAGAGAGTTTATCGTAAGAACGCTGAAGAGACTACTAGGATATATTTATCGGTGAGTCTAATCTTAACCATATAAGGCACGCTGATGACACCGTGTAGGTGACAGGCACAGAAAGAAAATGACAGGTCCTCCGAGATAAAGTAAAAAAGAAAGCGAAAAGAAGGGAATAAACGTCAGAAACTGTACACTGTAAAGACAGACGGCATTTTTTTTCTTTTAAACTTTTCACCCCAAGCAAGGCGGGAGTGCCATTAGCACATAAGGGATTACAGAGAATGGGAGCAAGAGTAAAGAGGCGTAATAGAGGAAAGTGTGAAGAGAAAGATTGGGAATTAGATCAAGGCATCATGAATTTAAATAGTTGGAGATTATAGCTATCAGGGAAGCAAGTAAGAGGAAGGGAGTTCCACAGACGGGAAGGGAGAGATATGAAGCTATTGGAGTAGAAGACACGGCTACATTTAACCGTTTCGACAGTGAAAGGTTGGGACTGAGATGCAAACCTAGTAGCACGTTTAAATTCATGCCGTTTGGGGATTAGCGAAAATAGCTCGTCGGAGCAGTTACTATAAAGTATTTGTAGAAAAGACAGAGGGAGGTGACAGCACGTCTGTGAGAGAGCGACTGTAAACGAGATGCCAGATCAGGGCCAACCACACTGTATATCCGTCTCTGGATTTTGTCGAGGACCACGAACAGCGGGGGGCTGCAGACCATATATAACAGCAATATTCCATGCAAGAGTGAATGATTGATTTATAGATTTCAAGGATGGACTCGGACGAGAAAAGAGCGACGTAGAGAAGTGAATTTCCTTGCAGTAGATGAAGCTATTGATTCAATAAAGCCCAAGATTCGAACTACGAATTGGGAATGTCAACATACCACAAGTGCAGAAGTTTAAATATCTGGGAAGTGTTTTAATAGCTGATATGAAATGCGACACCGAAATCCGAATTATAATTGGATTAGCGAAAGATGCATTTAAAAAGTTAAACAAAGTAATAAGAAACAGGAAAATTTCGTCACACCCCCACCGGAAAAAAAAAGAATGCTGTGCTGATATGTAATACCATTCCTCTTGTATGGCAGTAAATGCTGGGCAATGTCCTTAAAGATGAGAACTGAAGTTTCCAAAATTGTACTTCTGCACAAAGATGCTGAGAATTCCATGGTCGAAGCGCTTAGAAGAAGTCTAAAGGAAAATTGAAAAAAAGGACACAGATTCAAAATCCCAAAGAGACAGCTAAAATTTTTTCTTTGATATATACTGACGAAGGAGAGTTTAGAGAATTTGACATTCTCAGGGCATATCGAGGGCAAGAGGGTCATAGAAAGACAGTATACCACCTACTTGACAACTTGGGCGAATGGATAGGGGAACGGGTAGGTCTTGGTAAAGAGGCAAACGTTACTAACAGCTACAAGGTATAGGAGGCAGTGAAGAGCCATGATCGTCCACGACTTGAAATAACTCTACAATGGTTTAAAATGTCGTAGAATGAATCGACCTAATCTCTATGTATGCTATGCCAAGATAGTTATATTCCATCGAACTCCGACCTACCGCCAATCACAATGAATGGTACCATGTCGGGGACGCATTGTGGCTTGAGAGACTACTGGGCCTTAAACTCACATCTGACCTCAAGTGGAACTCGTACGTACGATCCATTTATTAAATATGCAGGTAAAATGATCAGCTTCCTGTGCAGCTTCAGTAAATACCTGACACCTTATACTATCCTTTACTTTTACCAGACCAAGCCGAAAATGGAGTCATACCGTAATTTCTCGAAAATAATACGCATTTTGTTACTGTAGATTACAGGTAGTAACAGGGGTGCGTATTATAAACAGGTTTAAACAAAAATATTTTTTCGTTATTGATTTGTAATAATAAATGCGTACTTGTTGTAAAATAACAAAGATACTATCCCAATAACTAACATTTTTTGTCAATAAATTTGTTTATCGATAATCACTAATTATTTAACGAAAATTTCGAAGAGTTAACATTAAAATTTTAATTTTCAACATCATCATCACCATTTTCTATTATAGAATCAATATCTAAAATGTCATTAAACAAATTCACAATGTTATCTTCGTCCTGTTCAAAATTATCTTCGGCCTATTCTATTACCAAAGGATGTCACCTTCAGAGCCATTTTTATTCTTTCTCCATAAACGTATGTTAGCACAATTCAACTCATATTCTCTAGTTGCAGCTCTGTTTCCTATTCTTTCTGCTTACTCTATTCCTTTTTATTTAAAATTTGCACTATAACACGCACGTTTTGACGACATTTTGCTGGTAAAATAAAATGTTATATTTATCGGTAAAACCGCTGGTAATTTTCGACATTATTTTAACCGCTTAGTTTCGATTTTATTCTTAATTTCAAGGTCACCAAAGTATCTTCGTAATTATTTTTTTGACATAATTTATAGATGCGTATTATATATAGGGAAAGATATATTTCTTAATTTTTTGATTATTTGTTGTGCGTATTATTTTCGAGAAATTACGGTATTTAGGCGAGAGGTACCCAGCACCCATTTTCCAAAAGCGTCTTCGAGTTCTTGTGGGTGACGAATTATTTTCTAAATTCCAACCTCTCTCTCTCACAGGTGGGGTGTGGCAAGACTCTCATTTCTCTATCATCACTTCAATCGAAACTGCTCGGACGAACTACATTCATTGTTTCCGCCAGTTCTAACCTTTACGCCATGCCACTTCCATCGTAGTAAACCAGCCACATTTCCTCCGTATATTCCATAGGTGAGAAGTAAGTTCTACTTGAACAGCTTTTCCCGCCAACCACTACTCTGTGGAACCGACTGCCAAATTGATTTTACCCCGTTCTTCACAATTTTAACCTTTATCTTCCCCTTCCTATCCGTATAAACTGATGCTTAACTTAACACTCTATACTGTGTGGCCCCCGGGCCTTGTACAGTGTATAAGAAAATACCTTTAGAACTTTCACCGACATTCATGTTAGATATTATTGATCGATTTATGTATTTTTTTTACGGCTGATGAAGTCTTTGCGGGTTATTTAAAGCCAAAAAATATTTTAGAGTATAAGAATTTGTTTTTGAGATAATAACAGTTTTAAGGCTAGAAGTCTTACTAGTATCTCTCTATATTACTGAGATGAGGTATTATGTACATTATTTACATTATTCGGACTATCGTCCTCATCTTTGTCGCCATATTTATTACAACGTTCCGGCCGTAGTACGCTCCGGCCTTCTTCAGGTGGTTGGAATGTCGTACTGAACCTTTTATTTCACTCACTGAGGTAGACTGTTCTAGTTCCATGTGTCATGTTTAAGGCGGTTAAAGCAGGGGAGAACTTTCAGAGGGAAATTAACAGGAGATAACTGATAACTGACATCCATTAAACATGGCACATGGAACTAGAACAGTCTACCCCAGTGAGCGAAATAAAGGGTTCAGTTCGACGGAGCGTATAACGGCCGAAACGTTGTAATAAATATGACGACAAAGATGAGGACGATAGTCCGAATAATGTAAAGAAGTCTTATTAGTTAACCCATAGCAGGAGAAAAGGTTGATTTATACCTTTTCCACGGGTATTTGCGCGTAGGTGAATATAACGAACCCAATTGGAATTGGAACTCGGCTCGCCGATTAACAATTCCAAGCCATTAGTCACCCATCGAAGTACTGATCAAGTTCGATGTTGCTTAACTTCGGTGATCATACGGGAATCGGTGTTTCAACGTGATGTGTCTGTAAGTCAGACATTTTGTAGTTATCTGCAAAAGTTAGTAACTGTGACTTCAGTCTTGAGATTTACAAAATGAGCGCTGAGAACTTTTGCACACAGATACTAGTATCGCCAGATTTTGGTCAATTAGTTTATTGAAAATCCTACACATTATTGATCTATTCTCCTGTGGTTTCTCTTCACACTTGATCAGTGAACAAATACAAAGATATTTATGCTTGCTCTATTTTCAGAATAAAAATAGATGTGAATTGAATAATAATAATAAAAAAACGAAACAAACATATAAAATGTATACAGATATTAAGACAAGGCACGATAGTTTGGCATAGCGCCATAATAATCCCGTATCAAATTTAAGAGATATCGAAATAGCAAAGGATTTATAACTATCATCATCATCATCATCATCAACCCTATGACTGGGTGTGGTCGTAAGGTCACAGCGCAGTTGAGTCCCCTTCACATATCTCAGTTGAAAGTCAGGGAACAAGTATTCACTCGTAAGTAGCTTGTCTTGGGCGAGTAGAATCACAGCCGAATATCCTCCGACATGACGGCTTGCCTGGCTCACGGGCCCGTGTCCGTTAATTTCATCGAGGGAATAATCCACCCTGGCCTTTAACTTCAGACCCAGAAGTCTCTCCGCCCAGCGATGTCGCGTCAAGCATCGCAGTACCAGCATGCATAGGTATAGCGCCCAGTCTACCCCATTGAGCGAGACACCCTCAGGTTTTGATTTACAATCCTGCTGGGTGTCAAGCCACCTTCCTCAAAAGAAAAGCCTAGTTACTGATGATCCGACTATGCGGCAATAGAATTGGCAACACTCTTAGAGTAACCTTACACACACACACACACACACACACACACACACACACACACACACACAATATATATATATATATATATATATATATATATATATATATATATATATACAGTAGCGTCCAAAACTAAGGGACAAAATTTTAAAACCTAATATTTGTTAGAAATAACATCTGTGAAAAGCTGAAATTTTGACAACTGGTAGTCGTTATCATCCATAATAACATACTAAAATTTGAATCATTTGCAAAGGATAGAAAAAGAATTATAACAATTATCTATTTATTTTCAAAATAGGATCGTCCAAAAGTAAGGGACAAAATTGAGAAAAACAATGTAAACAGTATGCTATATTCAAAGTTTTTGATTTCCTCTAAAGAATACGTCTTACTTAGTCATTTGTAAACGTTGCATCAGCCGGCACCATGGCGAAACGCCAAAAACCTGATTACTCTGTGAGACAAGCTATTGTGAAGCTACACAAGGAAAAGCACACCATTAGAGAGATTTCAGAGAAAGTGAAACGTTCCAAGAGTGTTGTAGGCAGGGTTGTTAAATTCTACAATGATACTGGCAAAATAGTTAGTGCTTTTAAAACCGGCAGACCCCGCAAAACTTCGGCAAGAGAAGATCGAATAATGCAGCGTATGTCATTAAAGGACCGTTTTAAGTCTTGCACAGAAATTAAAAGGGTTATGAATAGTACCTCATGTGTTAATGTGTCAAGAGAAACTGTTTGTAGACGACTGCAAGAAATAGGGCTGTTTAATCGAACCCCAGGGAAGAAACCACTTGTTAGTTCGAAGAATAAGAAGAGATTAGAGTTTGCAAACAGGTATGTAATTTGGACATATGAAAATTGGGCAAAAGTATTTTTCAGTGATGAAAGCAAGTTTAATTTATTTGGAACAACGCCTCTTGTCCGGTTACAAACTCGTGTAAACGTGCAGATCTATAAAAACATTGTTCAAGATCATGTTGTGCCAATCATACAGAATTCAAGTTTCAATAGGGATACCTTTATGCAAGATAATGCCCCATGTCACAAGGCAAAGGTGGTAATGAGTTACCTTAGCGAGCAAGATTTGGAAATTATGGATTGGGTACTGCAAAGTCCTGACTTAAATCCAATAGAAAATCTTTGGAAGACCTTAGGAGTGAAAGTTATGGAAAGAAATCCCACTAACACGGAGGATTTGTGGGTGAACCTTCAAGAAGAATGGTCTAAAATTAGTATCGAGGATTGTCAAGAACTGATTCGTTCTTGTAGTCGAAGATGTGCAGCTGTCATTGAGAGCAAGGGCTCATTTACTAAATATTGATTGTACATGTATTTTTATTGTTTTTTGTCGTTTACATTGTTTTCTCAATTTTGTCCCTTACTTTTGGACGTTCCAAATTTGAAAATAAATAAATAATTGTTATAATTCTTTTTCTATCCTTTGCAAATGATTCAAATTTTAGTATGTTATTATGGATGATAACGACTACCAGTTGTCAAAATTTCAGCTTTTCACAGTTGTTATTTCTAACAAATATTAGGTTTTAAAATTTTGTCCCTGAGTTTTGCACGCTACTGTATATATATATATATATATATATATATATGTTGTATCAAAAATACCTTTGCAAATGTTAGGGCGCGGGTTCCTCACACCAAAACAAGGATAAAAGTCCATATGAACATATGTCCGCAAATCCTTCGTTTTTGAGTTATTGAGTTTAAACAAAGTTCAGGGTAGGTGGCGCTGTGTTGCCATGTAGATAAGGTTACATTTGTAATTCGTGTACACTTGTGGTTAGTTTGTCATCAACATTTAACATGTTTAGCAACGACTTAACTGAGAAGTGTTCCGTTTAACAGTGGCAAGATATTCATTTGATGATACTTTCTTTGCTTGCACTGAAGCAACCTTGTTAATTACTAGGAGTAGATAGGGTCGCCTATTGCCCTGTTCACACCCTCTTCCTATATATTGAATAGAAATAGAGATTTATTCCATGTTTCCTGTTTAGGATTGGGTTTCCGGTTCTTTCCAAAGTCTTCTCATTCTCTTTCACTCAGTATTTTATATGGACCTTTCTCCCTGTTTAGTGTGAGTAACCCGCCCAAAGTTTGTATTTTGATACATATATATATATATATATATATATATATATATATATATATATATATATATATATATATATATATATAAATGCGATGGGTAAATTATCGCGATTTTATATTTTAATTTCGCGCATACAGGTTGATTGTTTTTGATTTTGTCGACTGCACAGTATACTAGGGCAAGTTGGACACCGTCTGTTAGAAAAAGAGCATATATATATATATGCAGCATATCTTCATTTAAGCATGTTTGGTTGAATAATTTAGACATATATTATGTCTATTTATTTTTATTTTAATCTTCTCAAATTCACGGATTAACTTCTTAGTGCTATTACAAAACTGATTAAGAAAGTCGCCGTAGTTTTGGTTATTTTTTTTATTTTCCCAAATACTTTCAATCTCTTCCAAAATCATCTTCATGGGTGAATTGCTAAGACAAACAATTAATATAATTGATAGTTGTGATTTTTTTTATAAATGCGCATAAAACACGCTCCGATATAATTAATTTTAAAAATCTGTGACGAGATAGTCCAGCATTCACTGACACATAGGAGGACTAATATTACATAAGTGCTTAGCACTTTATTCTTGTTTGCAATGAAATTTTCCTGTATTTAATACTTTGCTTAGATTTTGGAAGGCATTTTAGTATGCACTTTTATGAGGCATTGTAATGCCTTTCCATCTTTTGGATAACGTACGATGCCTTCCAAAAGAAAAACAATATATTAAGAAACAGGAAAATTTTGTCAGAAACAAAGAAAAGTGTACTGAACTGTTACGTAATGTCAGTTCTCCTATATAGCTGTGAATGCTGGACAATCTCCTCACAGACGAAGAAGAAACTTGAAGCTACAGAAAAGTTGTTCTTCAGAAGGAGATCAATAATAGCATGGACTGAAATTGTGAGCAACTACAAAATTTTTAGAGTAAATGTAAACAAGAACGACACTTATACGTAACATCAGGGGCAGTTAAAATTTCTAGGGCTGACAATGAGGAAAGAAGGCTTAGAAAATTTAATACTCGCATAGATTGAAGGCAAGAGGGACGGAAGAAAACAATCCATAACCTGACTAACGAAATTGTGCAAATGAATGAAAGAACAGGGTTTAGGATAGATAGCAAAAAGCTAAAATTTACTAAGAACTAAAAAAAGACAATAAGTTGTGGAGAGCTAACGTCCTGGAGCGGCATTGCACATAGAAAAATAAGAAGAACATTATTATCTATTTAGCTTAACGTACCTCGTCAATTACTGTTGTCGAGTAGTTGTGTCGCTTTGGGGCTTTCTCCCGAACGTGGATTCTACATTCACGATGTATGAAACACTCCTTTCCCTCCGTTCCGGTGAGCGCTTATTTATCTAGCAGCCATATGGTTTTTCATATCCTAAGCATAGCTGGGCCGACAAGCTGTTTAAATGTCGGTGGGATTAAATCTACTATTCGTCCATGCTTAGAATATTTCGCTATATTTCCTCAAGGACACATGTCACAGTGGATAAGGGCGTTAGTTAGATCCAAGCACAGAAACCAAAGAGTGTGAGTTCAATACCTGGTTAAAGCATTGAAGAACTTGGAAAGGGAAATTAACAGGAAGTAACTGATAACTGACATCCATTAAACATGGCACGTGGAACTAGAACAGTCTACCCTAGTGAGCGAAATAAAGAGTTCAGTTTGACATTCCAACCATCTGAAGAAGGCCGGAGCGTACAACGTTGTAATAAATATGGCGACAAAGATGAGGCCAAGAGTCCGAATAATGTAACTAGCTTCGAATATTGTTGTCACATATGGTTCGGTGTTCCTGATATATGTTTAGAGATTCTTGATAAAAGCCAAAGAAGAATCAGCAATATCATTGGTTCTGACCTGGTGGCTCGGTTTCAGTCAGTTTCGCACCGGCATAAATTTGCTCCTCTTGTCCATTTCTATAAATACCTTCATAATAATTGTCCAGATGAGTTCTTCACTATGGTACCAAGAATTTATGAATTGAAGCTCAGTACTAGATTGGCAACGAGGTCTCATCAGCTGACAATTG